AAACAAAAATAAACAACAGCAAGAAAGCTGTGCATGCTAGCCCAGGCAGGATAGCCAGCCTGGGCTACAAAATGAGACCCCGTCTCAAGGAAAGCAAAGAGATTGCACATTATTTTAGGGCAAGCAGCAATGTTCTAGATTGTCCTCCTCATCAGTGGGCTTTTAGGAAAGTCCTGAGTCTTGAGGAGGAAGTGTCTAGGAAGAATCACGTTCTTGTGGAAGGTGGAGGAAGCTGTGTCTAGGTTCTTAGCAGGGAGTTGGCATGGGGGCTGGTGGTGAAAAGAAGAAGAGAACACCTGTCAAAACCCTGGGTTCTACTGACGTGTCACGGGAGGGTTTGAACAAAGCTGTGTGCGGTCTCATGTTGTCTTGTGTATGCTTTTATTTATTTGAGTGTCACAGGCATCGAACGGTTTGAGATCAGATGCAGAGAGCCCCGGTGGAGTGAAAAGTCCCTGAATCAGAATGAGGGAGGGCAGGAGTGGAGTCAGAAAAGCCAGGGGTCTGGAGATCTTTTGGGAAGAGGGGATGCAAGCAGGAATAGCTTGGAGGTGAATCAAGGCAGAGAAGGGGTTCTCTAAGGCCAGCAGAGGTGGGCTAGGGCTAGGCTTCGGGGAGCAGTGTGCTCTGAGGACACCTGCTTGGCTGTAAATACTTTTACAGCCTCTTCCTTTGTGAGGGCAGAGGTGAGTGGTTTTACACTTGGCAGGTGATATAAGGTGGGAACTTAAGGTAATTTCTCCTCCTCCCAACCAGACCTGCTGTACAGTCTTGGTTATTTGGTTACCCATTTAGCCAACAAAGATACAACAAAACACATGAAAATGCCAGGTCAAGTTGCAACGCTCCCAGCATCCACAAGGTGGCTCCAGTTCTAGGGGATCTGAGTTCCTGTTTGGGCCTCTGAAGGCACTGGAGAGGTACATGGTGTACATATGTACGTGTAGACAAAAACACTTGCACATACAGTGGAAATAAATCTTTAGAAGAAAAGAGCGAACCTTCCAGTCAAGTTAGGGGGTTCTTTATATATTCTTCAATACCTAATCAGATCCAGTTGGAGTGAAAAATGCATGGAGGAGTTCAGAGAGCCTGGCTTATTGTAAGGTTTTCACACAGTGAGCAGGTGCTGGGAGGTGGGGACACCGAGACGATGCTCTGGTTTTCATTTTGTTTTAAAATTTGCAATGACCCTGGATACCAGAATTGTTAGAACATGGGGTTCATGTGGGGAATACAAGAAAGAGCTGGAAAGATCTTGTCAAAGTATGGCAAATGAAAGCCAAGCCAGAGTCAGGTCCTTCCTCCATGGCTCAGGGGACAAGGTGTGAGGAGGGAAGTAGATTGAGATCAGAAGAAATTGGTATAGTAAATGCAGACAGCTTCCTTCCATTCCATACCCAGTGCTCCCTACTGTGTGCAAAACGGACATCCATCAGCTGACCTTGTGACCCTGGACCGAGATCAATGGTGCTTGTAAATGTGTTCTACTTTGTTCCTTTTCTGCACTTGCTAATTTTTTTTTTTAAATAATACGTTCCTAGTTAAAGATTAATTGAGGCCCATCTGTCTCAGAATAGAGTCTGGATTCAGTGATCCCATAAATGTTGGAGAAACAGAATGGGTAAGCTGTAATTGCTTTAAAAACATGCTTCATGCCAACAAATTCACAAAGGCCAAGAGAAGACTTCAGAGAGGCTGGAGGACTCTCCGCCGCATGACTGGGTGGGTAGCCCAGGGCAAGGCTGGGCGCTGAAGAATTGAAGCCCACAGACAGGAAAATGAGCTCTTGCTGCAGTCTCAGATGAGGCTCTCAAAGGCCCCCAACTCAGCTGCTAAGGAGAATGAACACTTCTGAGGCCAGGAAGCCCACCTGCTTGATACGACTCTATCAGTCGTGGCCAGACACCCACCCCTGCCTATGGCTGTCTCTACATTGAGGGACCGGAAATGGAAGTAGGCACAACCTGTGTGCACCTGAAACCTGGCGAGACCTGGAGGGATGCCCAGGTCTAATTTACCTGTTGAGGTGGCAAGTTGTGGTTTCGGTCACATTGCCCAAAAGATAAGGAATTTCAGGAATTCTGCCATGCCAGTTGGAAGCAGAGTCCCACACAATGGGCCTTTTATGGAGCCCTGGCCTACAGTTGGTACTGTGGTGTTATTTTAACTTGTTTTGTGTTGAGCTGGAGTGTGCAGTGCCAGTTGCTAGGGGAACTTTGGACTGGGGAAAAAGAGAGGCTGGCTTCTAAACTGTGGCAGGACAACTGCTAGCATAGGCCACCCTCCCACCGGGAAGGAAGCTGGCTTATTGCTGGCCAGAGCCTAGTTTTCCTCCTAGCTGCTCTCCTGTGTTGTGGAGTTCACACTCTGCCCTTCACATGTGCTGTGGATCTGAGGGCAAGGACTATTCTGAGGTCCCTTTTCATTGCTGCTGTGTCTTCAGCATTAGTGACCACTCATGGTTGTGATCCAATTCCAGATGACACCTTTAAGGGAAGAAGGGTTTATTTTCTCATAGTCCAGGAGACAGTTGAATTCTGCCATGATGGAGAAGGCGCAGCAGCAGGAGTGTGAGGCAGCTGGCCTCTTTCTGTCCATGGACAGAAAGCAGTGTGACTGAAGTGTGGCCAAACTCTAAAGCCTCAAGGCCTGACACCCTGCCCCCCACCCCCCATAATTTCCTTTCTTTCCTCCATCTAGGCTCCACCTCCTGCAAGTTCTACAACCTTCCAAAACAGTGCTGCCAGCTCAGGACCAAGTGTTGAAGCATATGGTTTGGGGTCATTTCTCATTCAGACCACACCTTCCTGTCCACTTGTTACAGGAATGAGACAGATAATGAACAGAAAAGAGTACAGTTGTGAAATCGGTTTACATGACGGCAAGCAGTTCCCATCCCTGGGCCTTTATAGAAGAAAGATCATTATTCCTTGCAAATGAAGCTAGTGATAGTGTAGGGGAAAATGGAAGCTGGCAAATTGGTAGTAATTGGTGTTGGCTTCTGTGGTTAAGAGTGCCCACTGAAAGATTTAGGGGCTACACCTCCTTTTCTGTTTGTTTATTTGTTTGTTTTTTTGAGACAGGGTTTTTCTGTGTAGCTTTGGAAGCTATCCTGGCACTTTGTAGCCCAGGCTGGCCTCGAACTCACAAAGATCCACCTGCCTCTCCCTCCCAAGTTCTGGGATTAGAGGCGTGAGCCACCAACGCCCAGTGACACCTCTTCCTCCTCCTCCTCTTCTTCTTCTTTTAAAATAGGATTTATTTTTCTTAAAATTCACAAGGACAAAATAGGCTTTTAGCTTATAGGGAGGTACTGTTCAAGCACCCTTCCAGTCAGCAGGCATCTTTGGTTGTCTTGCCTGCTTGGGACAACATGGTATGGCTGGAGGAATTCAGAGATCCTCCATACAGACACTCTGTGCATGGCCCTGGGATCTTGGGTGGCATTTTTAGGCTATAAACTGGAAGTTTTAATTCTTCCCTGACTGACTGGCATCTTAAGAGTTGAAATGTGTGGAAATGGCTCTGCTCAGCAGGAGATGGCTGACTGTAGTTTTACTCTTAGAATGGGTGATACATTGTGGGGGCATGGAGTTCAGTGTTGCTGTGGGGACTTGGGGGGAGTGCTAAAACAGTTTCTGGAGTTAAGATTTATATGTAGTTGCACAAAAGATGGACAGGTATCAGCAAGCTTGGGCTGAACTCGGCCCTTTGCCTCTGATGGGTTTGCCTTCTGAATTTCCAATTTCATGAAGTCATGGTATCTCACAAATTATCTTCATGGGTTCAGATGTCTGTGAGAGTTTTGCAGAAGGTTTTTGATAATGAGCTATGTTAATGGGTAATCTATTGGTGGCAATCTCTCGTGCATCCAGCAGGAAAGATACTCTGCTTTGGTTAGGACGGAATTTCTTGGAGTGAAACATTTATTTATTTTTCTGTCATGTTTTCTTTGATAACTGATCCTAGCTGAGATATCTTGGTAAAAGACTCTTGCCCCTAAGAATCATTTACTTTCTTCCGAAGCTGCATCGTGCTGGAAGATTTTCTTAAAACTTTACCTAGTAATTGCTGTAAGTTAAACAAAGTGGCAGAAAGCAAATTCATTTTCCCTGACTCAAGCAGCTACCATGAGATTGTATTTTGCTTTTTTTTTTTTAAACCTAAAAGATTTGGTAATATTATGTTCACACTACAATGAAAACTACATTTTAAAATTTTACTTTTCCCCTCCAAAATCATTCTTTTTGCTAGGAAGTTGGGGCAGGGTTTCCTTGTTAGGCTCAGCACTGTGACTTCCTGGTGAAATAGAACAAAAAACACAGAACTGACAAGGACCCCCTTCTGCTTTCACCTGTCTGGCTGAGTCACGCCAGGCCAAGTGGGCACCATTACAGAGTGAGTGGGAGTTCTCAACATTGGCTTCCAGGTATCATGGACATGTGACTTCTCCCCATGAGTGGCCTCATTTCAGAAGCAGATCCCATGGATATCATTCCAGGAGGAGGAGGGCCATTCCCATGGTGTGCTGGATCATACTGGGTGTGCAATGTTCAGGAGATTGATGGGGGGAGGCATTGATGTACAGGCAGAGGAGCAGAGAATGGAACTGGAAATAGCTTTCTTTGTTGACATGCATCTGAGAGCCATGGGTAGAACATGTACTGTAGTCACAATGTATGCCTGGGCTATCTAATCCAAGATTGTGTTTTAGATGCTATTGGAAAGGGCTGGGGCTGTAGCTTAGTGGTAGAGTACTTCCTTGTGTGCATAAAACTCTAGGTTCCTGGTATAGTGAACCAAAGATAGAGGGTAGTGGAAGGCAGGTGTGAATACAATCGTGGTGTGTTGTATACAAGTATATATGGTTAAATATAAATTTTAAATGGAAAGAGTTTTGCTATTAAAAATATAAAACAAAACAGAACAGATGACTTAGAAGAATTGGGATGGAGTGGAACCATGTGCTGAGGTCCTTTCCACCCTTATCTCTGCAGTTTTGCTGCTGGAGAAGATAGAACATGATGACATTTGCAACAAGACACTGAAGATCACGGACTTTGGGCTGGCAAGGGAGTGGCACAGAACTACCAGGATGAGTGCAGCAGGGACCTATGCCTGGATGGCTCCTGAGGTCATCAGGTCCTCCCTGTTCTCCAAGGGCAGCGACATCTGGAGGTGAGCATACACACCTTTGCTTTGTCTATCTGCAATTGTTGGTTGTTGTTGTATTTGATCATGGAAGCTGCAAGCCTTCGTGATTCTGCCGTGAATAGCAAAGTGCTTTGTGAGTGTGTTGATCCAGATGTGTGTTGCAGAATATTTGTTTAACTATGTAAAGATGTATTGCATTTGCTTATGCTGTGGAATATTTGTTTAACTATAAAAAGATGTATTGCATTTGTTTAGTTGTGTAAAGATGTGTTACTGTTTTACCTTGCTTGCCTAAGGTAACTAATTGGTCTAATAAACAGCTAAAGAGCAGATAGTGAGGGAGGAGGTATAGGTGGGAGTTTCAGTCAGGGAGAGTAATGAGGAGGAGGAATTTAGGCTCAGAAAAGAAAGAAAAAGAGATGCCAGGGAGCAGCCAGCCAGACATGGAGGAAGCAGGAAAGTAAGACATGCAGAATGCAAGAAAAATAAAAAGATTAATAGCCTATGCTAAAGTCGAGCATTCATAAATCTCTATGTCTTTAATTGGGAGCTGGTTGGAGGCCCAAAGAAAATCCCAACTACAAATATGATGACAAGAGACTGTTATTTGGCTTTCTGTTGTGTGATATGATCTCTGGGGTAATTAGGGTAAATGAGAAAAGCTTGTTTTGGTTCAGGGTTTCGGAGGTCTCTGTTCATGGATACTTGAACTCATCATTTTAGTCTGTGAAGAGGTACAACATCATGGCTGGAAGCTTGTGGTAGACTTAAGGTGCTTCCTTCATGCCTCCCAGGAATCAGAAAGAGGAGAAGAGGCTGATGCACCTCCCTTGATGAGGTCCCACTTTCAAAAGGTTCTGCTACCTCATCTGGGGCCAAAGCTCCAACACATTAGCTTTAGAGGGACATTTATGAACCATCCTCTAGCCTCCACCTGGTCTCATCTCATGATGCAAATGGGTTTATCCAATCTCAAGGACTGTATAGTTCTATGTTCAAAGTCTTTTCTGAGACTCAAGGCAAAGGCCTCTGAGTGTTGTTGTGTTTGCATGTGTTTTAGTGTATGTGCATATGTGTTATTAAGTGTGTATATCTATTATTAAATGTGTGCATGTGTGGTAAGTGTGTGTAATTAAGTGTCTTAGTGAAAGTAACTGTTGCTATGAGAGACACCATGACCATGGCAACTCTTACAAAGAAAACATTTAATTAAGGTGGTGGCTTACAGTTCAGAGGTTCAGTCCATTATCATCATGATGGGGGGCTTGGCAGCATGCAGGCAGATGTGGTGCTGGCTACATCTTGACCAGAAGGCAGCAGGACATTGACAGTCACACTGAGGGAAGCCTGAGCAAAAAAGCCCACCCCTACAGTGACACACTTACTCCAACAGGGCCACACCTAATAGTGCCACTCCCTTTGGGGGGGCATTTTCTTTCAAACCACCACATTAAGTATGTGTGTATGTGTGTATATGTGTATGATTGTGTATACATGTGTTACTAAATTTGTGTTACTGTGTGTTCATGTGTGTGTTAAGTGTATGCACATGTGTGTGCTATTAAGTATGTGCATGCATGTGTGTATGTATTGGTAAGTGTGGAGGTGAGAGGTTGGTACTGAGTGTCTTCCACTATCTTTATCTTATCTTTTGAGATAAGACTCGAGCCTGGAGCTCACTGATTGGTTTGACTGGCTCGTGAGCAGGTCTCTGGAATCCACCTTCTGCTGGAATTACAGATATGTGAGACCACACCTGACTCTTCTATCTGGGTGCTGGAGATCTGAACACAGGTCCTCATGCTTGAGAAACCCACACTAATCCAGCCCTCAAACAAAACAACAACAACAACAACAGCAAAACTCTTAGCTGTGATCTCCTTGAGAAAAAGAAAGTTATACACTTCTGAGACAAAATGACACACCAAGCATTCTCCTCTGGGAAGAAAGGAGAAGAAAATAGCAGGGAGGGACAGACCAAAGTAAAAGTGAGCCCAGCCAGCGGCCACCCACAGATGTCCGTGTCTGAAGTCTGGAGCACATGTCAGCAGAATGTGGCTTGGGCAGCCCTGATTGTTAGGTTCTGTGAACTGCTGCTCTTGTGGTTTATCTCCTGAGCTGGCTCTGCTTGCTGCCTGTAGCTTCCCTTGGTGTCTCTTAACTCCAGAAGGTCTCCATTACATGTTCTTCATTTTCTAGCTCCACACTTTGCCCTCTCAGGGACGGCAAGACTTCCAGTTGTTCCAGTGTGAATCCTTGTTTTCTTAATGTCCATAATCTCTTTAACAATTAGGTCTGCCTGCCATGTGGATATGTGACCTTTTTGGCTAAACTGCAAGTGTTTACAATATTTCCGCTGCCTTTGACTCCTGGTCCAAATTGCTAAAAGCAGTTGGTGATAACCATGCCACAACCCCAGTGTTAGGCTGTGTTGCAATTTTCTCTGTCAGATTATTGAGTCTCCTGCCTTCAAATTTCAGCCTCATTCAAGGTCTCAGGATGGGGGCAAAATGTAGACATTGCTAGAATGTAACTCAAGTGGTTTGTAGGGTGATTTCTGCCGGAGTCCTCATGAGCACAGCCGTTACTGGCACATTTCCTTCAGCATCTTCATCTTGAGTCCCAATAGAAGAAGTGACTCTCAGAACTCCAGCTTTCTCTATGCCCTTTTACAGACTTTATCAAAGGCATTTGAACCACACTGTTAGGTTCCTCATAGCAGTGACTCGTGTTTTCTGTATTAGTCAGTTTTCTGTGGCTGTGACAAAATTCCTAAGATAACCAACTCTTAAGAAGGGATTTTTTTTTTTTTTTTTGTCTTTTTAATTTCAGAAAGCTCACAGTTTGAGAGTTTTCTTCCCATGAGCCTTTGGCTCTGTTGTCTCTTGGGCCTGTGGTGAAGCAGAGCATCATGGGTAACAAAGCTGCTCACGCTCTGGCAACAAGGAGGGGGTGGATGACACTTCCATGTATCATGCTGGGCTCAGTGGTGCACACCATGGTGTGAATAGAGGTTGCATCCTCATGTCTCCCCACCATGGTAGACAGGACACTCTGAAACTGTGAGTGAAGGGAAATCCTTGCTCTGTCCGGTAGGGGGTTTCTTTCAGTTTTTGTCATAGTGACAAGGAAGCTAATGTGCAGGATAGGTAAGAGAATCTTTTTTTGAACCAGGTTGTGTCAAACTCACAAAGTCGCAATCAACACTTTAATCTTTGTGTACACTAGAAGTCACACTCCTCGCTTCCACACATGAAGTCCTTGGGGAAGATATTTGCCAAATCAGCCAGAGAGCGGTCATTTACCCCCAAAGCAGTCATACTCTGTTGTATGAGTAGGCACATTTGCTTGGCAGGTTTGTCTTGGCAGGTAAATTGATGGACTTGAACAAAATTATATTGAGTGAGATGACCCAGGCAAGAAAAAGGAATGCTGTACGTTCTCCCTGCTAGTTGAATGTAGCTTCTAATCTAATTGTAGTAGTGTGGAAGTCAGGACATTAGAAGGGAGCTGTTGGGAGAGGTGGGAGAGGATGACTTCACAGAGGGGGATAGCAGAACTTAGGTAGTATTTGAGTAGAGGTGGGACTGGGGGTGGGGATGTTTAAAGCAGGTAGGGGAAGCGAAGACACAAGGGGGTTGGGGAAAGGATTACCCAAAAGTGAAGGACATGAAAAAGCCACATAGAAACCTACTCTCCTATAATCAAAGTAATATATAATGTATGAAAAAAAAAGAAAGACTTTGGAAGGAGATACTCTACTAGTAACTGCTATGAGTTGAAGCGAAGATTCTTTTGTGTCCTGGGGACACATCTTAAGAGCTTCCCTGTCGTGACTTAGTCAGGCCCTCTGAGGACAGAGCTGAGCATGTGTATTCTATAAAGCAATGAGGATCTTGTCATGGAGTTAATTACAGTCACTTTCTGCCTACATGAAAACAAGTTGTGAAACTGAACTCAGCTGTCTTTTAAGAGATTAACTGTCAGGGTTCTAGAAACTACTAACTCCCCCATAAATCAGTTTTGCATTCAAAATGATGTCTTAAGACTACACCCCTTTCTATGTGTCTGCCCTCTATTGCAAGTCCTGTAGTTACAAGCTAGAACCGCCAGTGCTCATGTGGTCTGACATGAGATTCCAGAAGTGGCGAGAGTACAAGCTGCAGAGCCTCAGACGCAGCCAGAGCAGATACGCCTCTGAAATCCACCTGTACTTTGGTTTCACTTAATGCACAAGTGATCCAAGTTGTCATTAAAAGTTTCCAATTAGGAGAGAAGGAGAGAGGCTGGACAGTGATAGTATCAGATGCCTGGGACCAGTGTGATGGCTCAGTGGGTCAAGGTCCTTGCTGCCAAGTCTGACTTCAATCTCTGAGACTCAGAAGATGAGAACTGACTCCTGAGAGTTGTCCTCTGACTTCACCGCAAGCTGCGGTGCTCACATGGACACATGCTAAATTACAAATAAATGAAAAAATGAAATGAAAACCAGCAAGAATGCCAGCTGTGCAGGCACAATGCTGTGTACCCATAGCCAGCCACTCATCAGGGGAGATCCCTTTGGCCCAGGGTTTGAGGATACCCTGGGCAACACAAAAACTCACCCCACAATGTATTTCTTTTACACCTCTGTCTGTTCAGTGTAAAGCCTAATGGGTCCCCAACCCCTTTGCCACCGCATATCAGACACCCTGAATACAAGGTGCTTATATATGATTCATAATAGTAGCAAAATTACAGTTATGAAGTACCAATGAAATAATTCCATGGTTGGGGGTCACCACAATGTGAGGAACTTTATTAAAGGGTCATAGCATTGGGAAGGTTGAGAACCACTGATTTAGAGTGATAGAACTTCGGGAAAAAAAAATTATGTGTGTGGGTCTTTTACCTGAGGGTTTATCTGGGCATCACATGCATACAGTGCCTGTGGAGGCCAGAAAGGGGCATCAGACCCCTAAGACCAGAATTTGAGACAGCTGTGAGCTATTGTGTGGGGGATGGAAACTGAACTCAGGACCTCTGGAAGAGCAGCCAATACTCTTTTAACTGCTGAGCCATCTCTCCAGACCTCTTCTAAGGAGTATTTTGAGGCTTGGACCTCATAATCCTCCAGCCTCGGTCCCCTGAGTGCTGGGATTGTGTATTATGCTCCAGCTGTTCTGGGGCAGAGTCACCTCCCACCCTGGGAGAACAGTGGCCTTGGTCAGCAGGGGATGCTGATCTTAGTGGGAGTTGAGCTGGGGGTGAGGCAGACTCTGGAGCCCAAGTCACTAATGGGAACTTTGCTTTCCAGCTATGGGGTGCTGCTGTGGGAGCTGCTCACGGGCGAGGTCCCTTACCGTGGCATCGATGGACTGGCTGTGGCATATGGGGTGGCCGTCAACAAGCTCACACTGCCCATTCCGTCCACCTGCCCTGAGCCATTTGCAAAGCTCATGAAAGGTATTGTTCAGCCCCGCTCTCAAGGGTCTAGGGCCAAGGAAAGTTGTGTATAGGAATAGTAACGTTTTCTATGTATGTGCTAGTGAGATGACTCAGCACATAAAGATGTTCACCACCAAGGCTGACAGTCTGAGTTCAATTTCTACACAATAGAAGAGATCGGATTCCTATTGGTGGTCCTCTGTTTCTAACTATATACAGTGGCACACCTGAGCCCACACATGTAAATAAATAGATAAATATATAAGGTTTTAAAAGCAAAGGATATTATTAATCTGGATGCAGTAGCTCATGTCATTGATGCCAGTATTCAAGAATCTGAGGCAGGAGAATTGCTTTGAGTTTCCAGGCCAGCCTGGGCTAATATGAGTCCCTGTCTCAAAAAAACAAAAAACAAAACAAAACAAAAAAAAAAAAACAAAAAACAAAAAACAAAAACAAAAACAAAAACAAAAACAAAAAAACCAAAAACCAAAAAACAAAAAAGAGCCAATTTTAAGTGTGCTATTCTAAGAAACTTCAACTATGCTAGAGAGGTGCATTTTCCATTTTCAGTTGTGCAGCTTAAGGCCACCCAGTTTTACCAGCGATGCCTCATCTTCCGGGCCACCATCCGCCAGCAGACAGCACAGCTCTGAGCTGGTTCCAAGCCTCCATCTGAAGTCCCAGATAGTGAGCACCTCCCAGGTCTCAGCAGCGTGGTTGTGCTTGGTCCTTCCGATTCCTCTCTTGTCCTTAAGCTGCTGCCTTTCCCTGTGAGCTGTGGATTTTGATTTTTGTTTTGATAGAGTTTTGCTATGTGAACAAATTTGAACTCACTCTGTATTCCATGCTGGATGAAAATTTGTGACATATTTCAGGATGTCCTCAAACTCACTGGGCAGCCTAGGCTGGCTGCAAATTCACCATGTAATCCAGATCCTGCCTTAAATTGATGGCATGTGGCACAGTGTCCAGTATTATGTTATTCCTTAGTCCTTCTGTTGTAATTATATCAAATTCCACACGTTGGCTTGGGGGCTTGTGTTTTATAGCTAGGCGATTTTGCTGCAGCAGCCAGGCCTCAGCATGAAAACAGGAGCATGCTCATTTCATTGTGTCTCTGCTCACCTCTGACACTGTGCTGGATACTGGGGACACAGAGCTCTCAGGCACTCACTGATATGCCCTTAAGAATTCCAGGAGTCAACACTGCAGACAGGGACTTCTGGTTTAGAGTGACAAGTGTCAGACTGAGAACCCTGCCCGTCTTGGAGATCATCCTAGTTGTACTAAGAGGGAAAAGTAATGTGATTCTCATTTGTCGCAGAATGCTGGGAACAAGACCCTCACATCCGCCCTTCGTTTGCCTTAATTCTTCAACAGCTGACTGCGATTGAAGGGGTGGTGGCCACTGAGATGCCCCAGGAATCCTTCCATTCTATGCAGGAAGACTGGAAACTGGAGATTCAGCAAATGTTCAATGAGCTTCGAACCAAGGAGAAGGTGAGAGCGCCGACTCACTGCACAATACACCTATAAGCCATGGGGATGCCAGCCGGGGACCACTGTTACCCTTCTGCCAGTTTCCAGATGTCAGTGTGTATTGATGCTTGCTGTTCGCCAGGTTAAAGTAAAGGGTACTGAAAACTCTTATTAGGGAATTTCCAAATGGAAAAGAGATTTTAAAAATTAGCACAATAAACCTGTACATGAATGAGCCATGCCAAATGCCCAGTTTGATCGTCTTACACCCTTATCCCCATCTTTTTCCCTGAAACTAGAGTAAATCAAACCCTGACCTCGTACTCTTGCTTGAAGATTTTGGCGCGCGAGCGCTTGTGTGTGTGTGTGTGTGTGTGTGTGTGTGTGTGTGTGTGTGTGTGTGTGTATGCTTTCATGGTTCATGGCACAGATGCAAAGGTTAGAAAATTACTTTTGGAAAACCCTCCTCTCCTTCCACCTTGTTGAGGCAGGGTACCCCAGGCTGGCCTTTGAGCTTCTGCGTGATTCTCTGTTCTCCACTTCCCATCTTGCTGGAGGACTGTTTGGACTAGAATTAGGAGCCCATGTGTCTGGATCTGAGGACTGAACTCAGGTCATGCCCAGTAAGTAGTTTACACACAAAGCTATTTCCCCAGACCTCCATGTTTCTTTAACTGGTGAAGATTGGGGGTGGTGGCAGAAAGTGTCAAATGTCACTACAGAAGGCAGATTTCAGGCATGGCTCTGAGACATGGTGATGGTACTTAGTCTTTTAGAAGCATCTTTGTGGTATATGAACATTTTCATGACTCCAGGTTTGTTGTTGTTTGATGAATGCAAGCGTTTAATAGTTTAAATCCTTCCATTATACATGCAGGATACACATTTGAGTGTGTGCATCTATAACACAGCAAGCATGGCATTTCAAGTTATTTGTCACCTTGAAGTTATAAGCAGGGAGGAACTCCCCCCGCCCATAGGCCTCTGGGACAGATGAGAAGTAAGCACCCTGCCTACTGTCTGAAGGGTTCCTAAGTAGGATTCATGGAGCATCCCGAGGACTGGTCCCCAGACTGAGTTCAGGGACATTTTGCTTCTCAGAGGGCTTTGGTGGTTGACCTTCAGCCTTCCTCTCTGGAACTTGAGCAGAATGACCAGGATTGCCTGTCTGTACTAAGCTGAGTGCTTGGAGCACTGGGTCAGACAGGCTGGCTGCCTCTGTGCTCAGCTGGGTGCTGCCACATGACCTTGGTCCTTGCATCACTCCCCATGGAGAGACAGAACAGGGAGTGTGAACTGTGAGGATGGTGCCCAGCTCCTGCCTCCTGCTTAGCAAGTACCATGTAAATAACAGGATCAAGACACTGGGGCTTTGTGACCTAGGGCCCTGTAGCCTCCCACTGTGCCTGACCAGGCCTAGGGGAACCAGCCAGAGGAGGAAGACATGAAGGCTGCTTCCCTAAGGTGCCTTTTAGCAAGGTCTTCTGTAGAATTTGCAAACATTTACACATTTGGTTGACTTAAAATGGTTGGAAAATTTTGATTTTTTTTTGGTACAGTTGTCCAATTCATTTTCAAGAATTCTGAAATGGGGTATTTAAACCCACAACTAAACTTTATTTGAAGGAATAACAGGTGCTTTTGAGGGAAAACAGCCTCAAATCACACAATTAATGTTTGAAAGTGACATTATTCAGCATAACAGTTCTTACAGCCCTTTTGTCTAATTAATAAACCTGCAGGATGTGAGCACAGGAACTGAGTAATTCTCATGGTATAGAGGAAAATAATAAAACAATGCTTCCAGAACAGATACAGCCTTCTCTGTCTTCAGGCTGACACTATCACTTAGAGTTTTCGTCTCTCTGTCTTTGTGGCAGTGTCTTGCTTAGTATCCTAGGCTACTCTGATACTCACTGTGTAGCTTAGGCTGGTCGTGAACTCACACTCACTGGGTAGTTAGGCTGATCATGAACTCACACTCACTGTGTAATTTAGGCTGGTTGTGAACTCACACTCACTGGGTAGTTAGACTGGTTGTGAACACACTGCAATCCTCCTGCTAAGCTTCCCAAGTGCTGGGATTACAGGCATGCCACCCACTGGCAGCCATTTTCTTATTATTCTTTTGGATTTTTTCCATTGATGTCTGGTTTGTCTTTTTATTTGAGTATTACTCATTGCTCCTCCAAGCAGCCCCTATGGCCTTGTGATCTGTGATTAGAGAATATGCGATAGTGTGTCTCTTTGTGCTCTGAGGGGTGGAAAGCCTGCGTACGTGCCCTATCTCCCTTTCCCGCTCACTGACTGAGGGAGGAGGCCTCACGCTCAGCCCTTGGCTCTCATCCACAGTTCTCTGTAGATGGTGAATCCTCCTCATGCTCAGGCTTCTTATCGCCGTCTGCCTGTGGGTCTCCTGTGTGCACCTGGCACAACAGGCCCTCAGAGAGCCTGTTCATTAACCATTAACCTTTCTTGCAGGGAAATGGTTTTGCCATTACCAGAAAGTCCCTGCTGAGCCTTCAGGCAAAGGCTCCTGCTAGTAGCCACACAGACAAAAGAAAGGCATTTGTACCTTGTGATTTCAGGGTGTTCACATGTGCTCCAATACTCCAGAGGTCTTCCTCCTGCTTTATTATTATTGTTGTGCGTGTGTGTGTGCGCACGTGCGTGCGTGCGTACGTGTGTGTGTGTGTGTGTGTGTGTGTGTGTGTGTAGGTCAGAGATCAACCTCAGTTACTTCCTCAGTCCTTTTCTACCTTGCTTTCCTGTGGCAAGGTCTCTCTCTGGAACCTGGAACTCCTCAATTCAGCCAGATTGACCCGCTAGAAGCACCAGGACCTTCCTGTTTGTAATTAAGTGTGTGCTCCCAGGCCTGGCTTCTGTATGTGGGTTCTCGGGATTGAACACGGGTCCTCGTGCTTGCGTGGCAAGCATTTTACCAGCTGAGCCATGACCCCAGCTCAGCCTTTCTAGTTTGACTACTTTCCTACCAATTATGTCCCCCATCTCCCCTAACCCCTTACAAAGTCTTTTTGTTGTTCAAGTTGTTGTTGTAGGGGCTGAACACTTTGGATAGGGAATTAAAAATGAAAGTGTTCACTTACTCAGTTTGTAATGCAAAGATGCATGAGGGATTGTGACTCCAGTCAACAGTAGCCAGTGAGGCCAACCCCAGTGCCATTGAAAACCAGGAACTCCCGGAGAAGGGCGGATGCTTGTCATGAGTTCAAAACCACCCTCTCTCCTCAGGTACTCTGCCGTCAATCTCCAGTGTGGGTTCACCTCAGAACTCTTTCACAGCTGGGTGGGTCACCCTCATCTGTGACCCCTGCACTCAGGAAGCAGAGGCAGAAGAATCAGAAGTTTGAGACCAGACAGGGTTACATAAGACCCTACCTTTAAAAAAAAAAATCACAGATTTTTTCAAAATTCCACTGCAATTCTTTTTCTTCTTCAGTGATAAACAGCAGTCTATACCTGGCACATGCCAGTGAGGAGATATTGACCCGTCAGTACATCAGAGCCAGCAGCACATGGTAGGGAGAGCAGCTGAGAGGCCTGTGAGTCCGGGCGAGTCTCCTCTGTAGCTGAGTACCTGTGAATTATTTAGATAAGCAAACCAAGATCAGAGTACTCAGAACTGAGTTCCAGTCCCATTGGAGGAGATGCCACAGCCTGAGGACTCTTGCTTAGAAGGATACGTTTCTCTGTCATGGGGATTCTCAGTCTCGGTCTCACCTTCATTTTGCCCTGTTGGCAGGACAGTGGTTTACTGTGTTCCTCTTTTCTTTCCGATGTCTGTAGATGACTCCAGGGTCCATCTTGAAAAAGTTCAAAGCTTATAGATGTGAACTGTGCCGTCTCTGGCTGTCTGTGGCTCCTCACAGTATGTCTTGGTTGAATGAGCCCTTTTGAGGAGTTGGCTGTTTAAACTCTTGTCTGTCACATAAAGCCAGGAGGAGTGTCTACCCCTATCTCAAGGCTCTAGAATGTCACAGCCCTACCCAAGCACCCTCTGTAGTTCCTACTGGAGCTTGGTGCAAGGATCTGCTGATATCTGACATGTGCTGATATCTGCTGGATGTTGTAACAACAAGAGCTGCTAGACACAGCTACCCAAGATGTTTCTCTCCATAGAGAAGAGAACACGTTAGAGAAATAGGGAGAGGGTTTGAAACTTTGCAGGAGTCTCAGTTTTCCCATAGCGGGTTATGAGTTATAGTCATATATAGCATGTAACTATGAGGATTAGCCTTTAACTCAGGGGTTCTCAGTCTGTGGGTCACGACCCCTTGGGGGTTGAAAGCCCTTCCATAGGGGTCTACTAAGGTCATCAGGAAACAGATATTTATGTTACAATTCATAACAGTAGTAAAATTATAGTTATGAAGTATCAATGAATTAGTTTTGTGGCTGGGGTCACTATACCATGAGGGTATGTATTAAAGGGTGGCAGCATTAGGAAGGCTGAGATCCACTGCTTTAAGTTGTTGAGTTGTTACTGTAGGTTGTATTTTGAAAGGGGTCATTCATGGGCCCAGGGATGTAGCTTAGTTGGTAGAAGGCTTCCCTGACATTCATGAAGCCTGGGGTAGCCTGGTAGTATGTGCTTGTATTCACAGCACTCAGGATTAGAAGTTCCAGGTCAGCTGTGGCAACTTGGTGAGCTTGAGGCCAGCCTGCACTACATAGACTGGGTCTCAAATAAATAGATAGATAGATAGATAGATACTGTCAAATAGATAAATAAATAAATAAATAAATAATGTCATTCCTAGCTGTTCTTTGCTGATGGGTGTTGATGTATGATTTATTTGTTAGATCAGTGGTTCTCAACATCCTTAACACTGCTACCCTTTAATACGGTTCCTCATGTTGTGATGACCCCTAACCATAAAATTATCTTCTTGTTACTTCATAGCTGTAATTTTGTTATGAATCATAATGTAAATGTCACATATACAGGATAGCTGATGTACAAACCCTGTGGGGGTTGCGATCCATAGGTTGAGAAAAGCTGTTAGGCGCTCATAAAGGCTAGAGGTGAAGATACAGTGAGGACAGCCTCAGGTGTGAAAGTGAGCAATGCCTTTCTCTATCAGGAACTAACCAGCTTTGGGGATTGGTTTCCCCTAGGTTACTAATAGCCTAGGTAACCAGCAGCTCAGGTCATCTTGAGTGCAGTGAGCTTGCCATGAAGGGCCTTGGGAGCACGACAGGAAGCCCATGTTCATCTCCTTTGGGACCTGACTTTGCAGGAGCTGCGGTCCCGGGAGGAGGAGCTGAGTCGAGCTGCCCTGCAACAGAAATCTCAGGAACTGCTGCTCAGACGCCGGGAGCAGCAGCTGGCAGAGCGCGAGATTGACGTGCTGGAGCGGGAACTGAATGTCCTCATCTTCCAGCTGAGCCAAGAGGCGCCACATGTGAAGAGGAGAAAGGGAAGGTTCAGGAGAGGCCGGCTGAGGGTCAAAGATGGCCACCGCATCAGCCTGCCTTCAGGTTTGTGCTGCCAGATCTGGGAAGCTTTAGGAAGTTAAAATTTGAAAATGCGAATGAATTATTTTATTAATCAATGAGTGAATGTGCGGATGCTTGACAACCATGGTCCTGACACATGGATGGAGGTCCAGCTGACATCTGAAATAGAAGTTGGATGCTATCATTGCACCTGAATTTTTGGCTGTCATCATAGAGTGCTAGCGATGGGCAGACAGGGTGGTGGCTAGTAGCAACTGTCAATGTGACAGCATCTACACTCATCCAAGAGACAAACCGCTGGGCAAGTCTGCAAAGAAAATTTTTATATTAACTGGGAAGACATGCCCTAATTATGAATGACTCTCATGTTGCTGGGGATCTAGACTGAATAAAGAGAAGGAAACTGGAAATCAGAATTCATAGGTCCTTTTTTTTGTCAATTTGTCTTTTGTCACAAATGCTGTGTCCTGGGTATACTGTTGTAGTCAATACTCATGATTTCCTAAATCTGGGGCCAGGGAAATGGCTAACAGCACTAGGGTGGCAATGGTCTAACGTTAGGAGAAAGTATGAAGTCTTCCCTTCCCAGATGACCCCCACTTTTCAATGACAGAGAGATCGAACAACACTCCTCATTCCTATGGGTAGTCATTGTTCAGCTGTGTTAACTTAAAAGGCAGAATTAATATGTGACTTTTTTTTTTTACCAGATTCTCAGAAATTCCTGGATTGTAGTATTTGGAATTTCCTTTCTGAAAATAAAGAGGACATTTTAGCTACATATTTATTTGTTTTCTGGCATCTGACATAAGAGTTCCTTCAAAAATCTAAGCATCTATGGCTGTAAAGACTTCAAATCACAGAGGAAGGATTTAGCATGCACAGCTCCTTCTGACCATAAGATGGCGCCAAATGTTGTAATTCTGGCACAGGACTGGCATGGACTGGCATTTGATGGCTTTGTTCTTACTGAGTGTTTGTGTGTGTATGCACAGAACCCCATGCATATACACATTCTCACTTGTGCAATACCCAGAACAGGACATCTATAGTGATGAAGCAATAACAATAACTTCTGTCCTGTTTCCCCAAGAGAGGTTTTTGCTCCTGGCGTTCTCAACTGGCAGAAAGTTCTTTGAATTATTGAATCTAGTGCTGTTGAAATGGCCTGAGATTTAGAAAGACTCACTGAGGGATGTATCTCGTTCTTCTGTGGGTTAACATACCAAATTTCTTCCATGTTTGCACTATCTGTCAATTCCCACACTGTACTTGATGAAAATACTTAGTACTGTTAGTATTTTCTTCAGGGTTTGTGGGAGAAAGCTTGGTAGGAGCAGAGGCAGGCTTTGACTCTGTGATGGGTTGAAACCCCTCTGTCTTGTGTTCCTTTTAAGTTTTATTTTGAACATATATAAAGTCAAAGAGGTTGCAGGCTTCAGGGATTGGTACATCTTTGAAGCAGGGAATTTTAAATTGCACCTAAGCCAGAGGGAACCAGAGGTACCAGCTATTTGTGTATGTGAGAGAATAGATGCATGGGGGGGCAGCTCTGTGTGTGTGTGTGTGTGTGTGTGTGTGAGAGAGAGAGAGAGAGTAGGAGAGTGGGCACACAGGAGGGCAGCAGTCTCTCTCTGTGTGTGTATGTATGTATGTATGTAAGAGTAGGAGAGTGGGCACACATGAAGGCAGCTGTTTGTGTGTGTGTAAGAGTGACAGAGTGGACACACAGGAGGGCAGATGTGAGTTTTTACTTTCAAAGCCCACCGCCAGTGACATACTTCCTCTGGCAAGGCCATGCTCCCCAAACCTACTGAATAGCCCTACCAACTGAGAGCCAGGTATTCAAATGCCTAGGGCTTTGTGGACATTTGTCATTCAAACCACTACAAAGAACCTACCCTGTCATGGTATAATCGTGTGTCTTGTGGAAGAGACACTCACACCCTGGGTTCTAGATTAGGCCAATTTGACTTAGATACTTATTCTACAATTTTCTAGCCCTGTTCTTTGGGCCTGCAGCATCAACAGAAACAAATCCACAGCACATGAAGTTTCTGTAGTAAGATGTCCTGACAGAGGTACCATTGAGACTCACATTAGCTGTTGGCTATCCGTCATTGCAGGGAACTCAAGGCCAGAACTGGAACCAGCCAGCCATACCCATAGTCAAGAACAGAGAAAAATGAACACATGCCTCCTTGTGCCTAGCAGAATAAAGCGTTGACTTGAATCTTTGAGAAGTGACACAGGGCCACACTGAGACACTGAGAAACGGGCTCAGAAGTTTCAATGTGCCTGAAAAAGTCGGTATCTGATGACATTGTTGTTAATGATTGTGCAGAAGACAGGAAAACGGTGCAGATCTCTGAAAAGTCGGTTCTTTCTTTCCCAGATTTCCAGCACAAGATCACAGTGCAGGCCTCCCCAACCCTGGACAAGCGCCGGAGCTCGGACAGCAGGCTCTGCAGCCCTCCCAGCAGCCCCTTGATGCTCCCCCGCCTGCGAGCTATTCAGTGTGAGTGTTTGCCAGCAGAGCAGTGGCCTCTCTCTTCTTTAGTGTTATCCCTGCCATGTGGTCACACTGAGTGGGCACGCTCTTACAGTGGGCGTGAGTGGAGTGGAGATTTGGAAATAAATGTTGACCTTGGGGCCTAGTGTAGGGGTGCACTCCTAGTGTGGGTGTGCATTCCTATAATCCCAGCACTTGGCGGGGAGAGATGTGGAAGGAGGAAAATCAAGGAAGCCTCAGGTATCTAATGAGTTCAAGGCCAGCCTGATCTAAGGAGCCCCTGTCTGGAGGAAAGGAGAAATGAAACAAAGTAAAAGTCATAAAGGAGTTGGTCTTAACTATTAGGCCACTTTTTCATGCTCTTTGACTATAAATGTAACAGTGTGTCAATGCAGTGGAGACCTAGAGCCAGGAGTCCAGGCCATCTCAAACAGTGTCACATCAGATAGCATCCTTGTCCTCTGCTGAAGGGCTGGGGATGTTGCTCAGTGATCGAACACTTGCTTAGAGATGTGGGGACTCAGAAAAGCAACAGATTAAGGAACTTGAGCATGCCTCAAGCACTTCAGACAATGTAAAGAAGACCATTTTCCTGTTTATAAAAGTCCTGTTTCTAGAAAGCAAATGTCTGTCTCCATGGACTTTCCCTCCATGTACACACGTGGCTAAAAACTTTTATTTTACATTTATTGTAGACCAAGCTGGCCTTCAACTCTCAGGGATCCATCTGCCTCTGCCTCTGCCTCCTGTGTGCTGGAATTAGAGGCATGCACCACCATGCCCAATGCTAGTCACATAGTTTTAAATAGGAACGTATGATTTGTAATGCAAAAAAAAAAAAAAAAAAACCCTCTGTGTATGTATACAATATGTGTCCACACGTGTATTCTAGGGCCTGCACGCATGTGCCATGGAAAGTGTGTGGAGGCTGGAGGTCAGCCGTGGATGTGGGTGCATACCTGTTGCCACCTTTGAGACAGGCTCCTAAACTAGATGGCTGGTGACCTTCTGGGGATTCCCCCATCTCTAAATTTTCAGGTCATTTCCTTTTCTAGTCTTCTTGCAACTTAAAAAAGAAATATGAATAGAAAAAGCAGTTTTCCAAGGTGGGTGAATGAGTTGTTCTCACTGTTCTGCCAGGCACCTGGCTAGATTCTTGGACTTTTTAGTAAAATCAATATGTAACAGTGGTTCTCCATTAGTGACTTCAGAGGACAGCAATAAAACCTGGGGACGGAATGTGGTCTTCCGGCAAGAAGACTTCGAAGATGTGAAAAGGAATTTCAAGAAAAAAGGTTGTACGTGGGGACCAAGCTCCATTCAAGTGAAAGAAAGACCAGAGGGCCGAGAGCGGTACGTGTGTGTGTGTGTGTGTGTGTGTGTGTGTGTGTGTGTGTGTGTGTGTGTGGAGGGGGTGCATGGCTCGCACTGGGGTTGTAGCACTGTTGTGCTGGCAATGCTACTATACCCGCTTCTTGAGAAGCCATTAGATTGATGCAGAGACATCTGGATAACTTAGTGCTCTGCGGTGTAATGAACTGACTTATGCAACGATTATTAGTTCAGTAAATAATCTCACATTTTATGCATCATTTTCTGATTTGTATGTGGGGGTTGGCAGGGGCAGGGCTAGGGAGATTGATCAAAGAAGACCTGAGTCTGATTCCCAGCAACAACTTGATGGCTCACAACCACCCCTAACTCTAGTTCCGGGGGATCCATCACCCTCTTCTGGTTGCTATGAAAATAAGAGATACATGTGGTTTGCCTGCATATGTTTGGACAAAATATGCAGACATATAAGGAAATGAATGAATCTAAAATATATTTTGAAGATTATATTTGTACTTTGTTAGGCCTTCAAAATTCAAAAGCACAAAGGTACTCTTTTTGCATCTCTAAAAATATTTCTACTGGGCTGAGATGCTCTGTGGGCAAGGTGTTATCTGGCAAGCTGAAGGACCCGAGTTCATCTCCGGCACTCATGAAAAAGCTGGCAGGCAAGGCAGCTGCCTGTAATCTTAGACCCACAAGAAGAAGAGACTACAGATCCTAGGGCAAACCAGCTTGCTATGCTAGCCAGAATGGGTGAGAGATCCTGCCTCAAAATAATAAAATGCAGAGCAATTGAGGAAGACATATATCAATTTCTGCCCTTCATATGCATGTGCACACAGGTGCAGCAGTATACACATAAACACCCATACATGTACCACACACAAGCAACCATAAAGACGCAAATACACACACACACACACACACACACACACACACACACACACACACACACGCACACACACCAAAAAGGTATTACTAAACGATATTGTATTTGAGTGTTCTGCAGTTCCATTATGTGAACACAAATGTCTTTCTCTCATAGGGTCAGGCCTCTCTCGGATGGCAACAGCCCTTGGTCATCTCTTTTAATAAGAAGTCAGAAAACCATGCCTTTGACTTCATTGTTTGTGGACCAACCAGGTAATCATGTCTCAGGAAGCTGGGAGTGTTCTTATCTCTGGGTGACCCTTAAGGTCATTGAAGGGGTGGCAGCAGGTCCTTTAGAGCTTTACTTAGGTCCAGAGGTTATTTTGCATCTAGACTTCATGGCACTAAGGAAATGGGCTCCACATGTTTGGGGAGGTGGAGCTCCTAGCTCTGTATCTTATCAGGAAAACCAATATCCCACTTAACCATATAGACCAGGTGAGTTCAGCATGGGAGTTGGCTTGATTAAGGATGAGCTGGGGCTATATTCACTGTAGATTGAGTTCAAGAGGTAAAACCATTGAAAACATTCAAGGATGGTAGTAAAGAGAGCTGGTCTTTTATACCCACTTATTTATGACAACATTTTCATATTGTGAGAAAATCAAACTGCTTCAGCAAAACTAGAGGTGTGTGCCTTGAGTGTATGCTGAGTGCTGTGCTCACCTCCTCTTGAAGGGCCCTGTTAATAAGCAAGGGGTTTGGTGAACAGCGCTAGAAGGAGAAGTCAGCAGAGGAAGAGGGGTTGCGTGAGTAGAGGTGCTCGTGGGAAATGCGGGCTTGTGCAGAGAGAAGCCAGTGTCCCGCTGGCTGTCTTGAAGAGAATGTCTTGATGAGGGTGGGCTTAGGTGTCGGGAAACACCTGGAAACAAGGCAGCTCTGTTGTGTCTTACCTTGGAGCCCATCATCACATGTTGCCTCCTGCATACGTGAGCACATCACCCTTCTCCTTAGCCAGTGCTCTTGGTGACCTCTGTGGCGCTTCAACCTCTTTGGAGTTTCACTCCCTCGAACCTCCACTACACTAGCCCCAGCTTTGGAAAGGTCTGTCACAATCCAGCCTTCTGGCTTTCAATCTTGTGCCATGTTGAGAAAGAACTCGGGTATCTACTGTCCGCTAGTTGCCACTGGTTTGAGTGCTATGCTTGGGAACCCTTCAAGTGCTGTGTAGCAGTCTGATGTGCAAAGTGAGCAGTGGACAAGGGCTGTGCACTTTGGTGAAACAATGAAATGTGCACATTTTGTGCAGCTGTGGTGTGTGTGCGCGCGCGTGTGTGTGTGTGTGTGTGTGTGTGTGTGTGAATGAGTGTGTGTGTGCGTATCTTGATGCTTCTGTCTCCTCACTAATTTCTGTTATCAATACTGTTGAGAAACACTTTCCTGGAGGACAGAAAGCATCAGTGATTTCCATACAGCCTGTGGGTGCCTGCATCCCAGGGCTCTGGATTCTTCTCACTAGAGTTTCTCCCACTGAAAGACCTCTGCATGCTTTGGTTTAGATGGTGGTGGTGGTGGTATGCATTTATGTCTTGATGCTTCTGTTTATATTTTGAGGTTTCATGGATTTTAGAATGTTTGTATACAGTTTAAATGGCAGCGTTTGCTATGTAATAGTTCTGCAATGTTGACATTTGTACCTTTGTTTTAGGACCTTGTGAAGAGCTGAAACTTGTCCCTGACGTATTAGATCATAGAAAATCAAAGCAAATGAAGTTCCCTGGCCAGGCCTATGTTGGTCTACCTCTTTGCAAAGACAGCCAGAGAGAGCACCCAGGAGAAGCTGAGAGCCATGAGGAGGGACCCTCTAAAGGCTCCCCAGTGAACAATGTGGGTGCACCCATGCTGAGGAAGAAAACAGAGTCTGCGCTGTGTGAGTGTGGGGTGCTGCTGGCATCGCTGGCTTTGGGACTGGATGTCAAGAAACTACATGGAGCCCAGGCCCCCAAAAAACCATCACCCAAAGAGGAAAAGAAGCGAGAGGACACTCTTCATTGGGTCTCCAGGTGCCAAGCAAGTACCAGTCCACTTCTGAGACAGCCACCTGCAGTCAGGGCACCTAGTGATGACCCCTCTCCCCTGCCGCCAAGTGCCACGAGCATTTTCTCGAAGTCTTCTCTCTCCATGACATGTTTGCTGCCTGCTAATGAGAAGGAGCCATCTTTGGGGAGGACACAGAACTCTTGTGGTCCCATGATGCTCACTCCAGACCCCTCTTCTGCCACCCCAGAAAGTAGCTGTGAACTCATCCCTGGACCAATACTTAAAAATGACTATGATGTGTTGAGAAGCATGTCGCCTGCCCTCTTGGAGCAGACAGGGGAAAACCTGTCAGCCGGTGCCCCTATAGGAGGCAAAGAATGCCATCATGCATGGATGGGATCCAAAGAAACTCCTTTCCAGCCTCAAAGTAGGTGGTAGCATTCGGGTGACAGTTCAGATGGCATTACTGGGAGTAAAGGGGTATAGATTGGACAGGGTTTCCTTTTTCTAATGATTTCAATTAATAACTTAATATTGTTAAAATGGATCTTGAGTGTTATCCTTCATTGTTATAATTTTGATATCACTAGGATTTAGATTCTGAGAAGAGACTTGATTGGGATCTAGCAACTTCAGATTATAAGAGCATGTAAGTACAAATCATGTGATGAATGACACATCAAACTCTGGGGACAGAGATGGGTCATAAATCCAAATCCCAGGAAGTAGACAGTAGAAGAGTGCTGAGCCACAGCCACCTAACCCTAGTACTAAACCAGTCACCTTAGTACTAAACACTTAACTCTAACCCTAAATATTTAACCCTAACCTTAAACACTTGACCATAAACTTTAAACATTTAACCCTAACCCCAAACACTTGAGCGTAACCTTCAACACTCATCCTAAACACCAACCTCTAACTTTAAACACTAATCCTAATTCTAATCCCAGCCACTAAACCTGAACTCCAAAATCTGATCCTAACCTTCTAATCCTAGTGCTAACCAAAAGCTATTCTGCAGTCCTCCCTGAGACACTCCTTGGACATATGCTGTGGTTGTGTTGGGACTGAGGTTCTTGTCACCTCTGTGTGATTGGTAGTTGGTATGTAGCAAAGCTGCAGCCCGTGTGGCTTAACCACTAGACTCTATTTCCCCACCGTGCTGAAGGTGGAAGTTCAAGGCAAAGGCATGGGCGGGACTGGGTCTTCCTTAGGCCTTTCACCTGGGCTTGCTCACACCCTTTCCCAGTGTCCTGATGTGGTGTGTTTGTCCGGATCTTCTAAGGCCCACAGTCAGACTACACTGGGGCCTGCCCAATTGAATTTAACTTAACCACCTGTGAGGACCCCCATCTCTAGGGCTGGGGAGATGGTTCAGTGAGTGAAATGCTTGCTGTACACATAACAGGCCCTGAATTCAATCCCCCAAGCCCACATTAAAAGGCTAGGTGTGGTGGTACAGACCTGTAATCCCAGCATTGATGGGAGAGGCAGGCAGGCAGATGCCTGGAGATTGCTGGCCAACCAGTCTAGCCAAGTTAGTGAATTCCAGGTCAGTGAGAGACCATGTCTCAGTAACTGTGTAGAGGTTTGTGCTCAGGTTTGCTGTCTGTGGCCTTGGGCATATTACTATAACATGTTTGTCCACTAGTAACTTTATATCACCTCTCCTGTGGTTAGGAGTGTGGCAGAAATGAAGTGCACAGGCACTTCTGCGATTAGGTACATTAATGTCATACAAGTATGCGCTGAAGCTATGGCTATGGAAAGCTATTTGAGCCAGGCATGGTGGCTCATGTCTGACATCATAGCTACAGGGGAGGCTGGGTGAAATGGCTGGAAGAATTTCATAGGGTGAAATACTCTTGCTGTTCTAATGATGTATTTTCACTAAGGAAAACATGCCCCAGTAGCTGTGAAAAGTTTGTGTAATTATAGTGTTGGAACTCTAGGCAACCCCATCATCTAGTTGAATATTCACCATCTTTCTCTTCACTCATCACTTCAGAGTCTATCTTCTCATTGCACACTGTCTGTATGTCTGTTTGTCTGTCTGTCTGTCTTCACCAACAGGTGCCCCCAGAGGCTCTGGGCTACCACACTCTGCCTCACCTGGTCCTCGCAATGGGCTGGCAAGCCAGGACACTCCTGTGCAATCTCAAAGTGTTCTTGCCAAGCATCAGGCATTTCCTGACCCACCACAAAGCCCACACACTGCTTCACCGAGGACAACATCCCCAGCTGCCTGGGCCTGTGACGTGGGACATGCAGTACCAGCTCTTGCCGGTCTCCTTGGTGCCCAGGACAGAAGCAGGTTCTGGGCACCTTCTTTGTTGGATGCCAATGGGGAAGGTCAGAGCAAGGACTGTGCCATGCCCTTGTGTAGAGTGAAGAGCGTGGCGTGCCAGCCGTCCATCTACGCCCTGGGGAAAGACTTTCTGACCTGAGTGCCTTTGCTGTCCCAGCATTAACATCCAGGTGGACACAGGGAGGCTCAGTGCTGTGTTTCAGACCGTGGCCCATGGTGTCAGTGCTTGATGCTGACTCTGAGGTGTACCAGTGACTGCTGCTTGTTGTCCATATCATGTCCACTGGATGCTAGTTACCCAATGACTCAAAATACACACAAGTGCAGCCAGCTGAGGCAGGGTCAATTCTCATGTATGTCCTGCCCATGAACACTTGGCAAAACTGCAACGGCCAACTCTCTTTGCTCCCTTCCTTCATCCTTTTTTGTGCCCTTTTGGCTTTTTGTTTGTTTGTTTGTTTTTTGTATAACAACAACAACAAAAGCCAAGAAGTAGCTATTCATGTTTTGGCGATAATAATGTGATGTTAGAAAGTAAAGATATTTATTTATAGAGGGGGAGGGGAAGGTTGTATTGATTGGAGTTCATTCAGAGTCCTGTTTAAAATACCAAGAGAAGGCAGTATGCTTATAATGTGGGAATATATCCAGTTGACTCCTGAATCACACAGGATATCTTCTGCCAGGAGCTTTTACTGAATGTAACTTATGAAAGTTTTATTGAGGCCTGGAGAGATGGCTCAGCAGTTAAGCATGCATACAGCCCTTTTGGAGGACACAAGCTCAGTCCCCAGCATCCATGCCAGATGGCTCATAAATGCCTGTGACTTCCAGTGCCCTGACCATCCAATGCCCGCTCCTGACTTCCACAGACACCTGCACTCACATGCACAAGCCACCACACAGACAAGATACACTCATACACATAATTAAAAGTCATAATATTTTTAAAGTTTTATTGAATATGACTACATTGCTATTTTTGTATCGTGAGACCAAAATACCCAAGAATGACTGAAAGGGAGGAACCATTTGTTTTGCTCATGGAGGGTTTCATCCAACCTTGAGGAGGACCTGGTCAGATGGCTCACATCATGGTGGACAGGAAGCAGAGTAAGGGAGCTATAGGAAGAGACCAGGGAAAGATACAGCCAAGGACACACTCTCATTGAATTCCATTCTCTTGTTTCTATAACCTCCCAAAATAGCACCACTACCTGGGGAACAAATGTGAGCCCAAGGAGGATGTTTCAGAGTCAGACCTTAGCAGTAATCGTCAAGTGTCATTTGGGATCAGGCACTAATATCAGGCCATCATCACATTTTGTGCCCTCCACAAGGTTGCTCTGTAGGTTTCCCTGCAGAAACACCTGCCTCTTCCTTCATTAGTAGAGGTGGGAAATTTCTTCATGCTATAGTAGAGTCTTTAAAAATTGTATTACCCATGACTAGCTGTGTTTGAAGAGCCTGTGTGCTGTGGACATACACGTGTGATTTCATTTTTTTCTGAGCCTACAGTTTCCCCAACACTAATGACACTGCCAGCACAGGAGATGGCAAGACTGGGGGGGTGGTGGTGAGCCGTGGTGAGCCATTTCATAATTCATTTAACCCTGAATAAACTAGGGCCTCTATGGAGGTGAGCAGGCATGGCAGGAAGACACAGACAACTTCTGGAAGCACTTATACAATGTGTCTCTGGATAGCAGGTGGGGTTGGAATAACTGTGGATCACTTTCATAATTTCACAAATAGAGTGCTGCATTGTTGAGATGGGGTGGGTCTTCAGGAGCTTGGTGAATTCACCTGGGTCTTGTGACTGCTGTGATCCCCTTCTGTCACCAGAACCTACTTATTTGTGAGACAGGCAGTAGATATATTTAAAGTGTGACACCCAGTAGGAAACTAAATTATCAACAACCTTTGGTGTTTTATTTAAAGTTGTATATTGGCTTATCAAAATAATGGCAGAAGTGTAAAAGGGGTTAAATCAGGTGTGTGGCATCTGAGACACATACAGGGTTGTCAGCAGGTGACCTGCAGGGAGGATCTCATTGCCAGCTCTGGGCAGGTTTTGGTAGCATGGAGCAAAATCTAAGGCTTTCACAAGACCCACTGTGGTGCTTTCTGCTGCCCAATTTTGCTTCTCTTCTGTTGTTATTAAATGCTGTAACAAGTATGTGATTTGCTTATCATTTGTCACATTGGACAGGCCAGTTGGCTGCTTCCTTTCAACCAATCATTTGAAGGGAAGCTAAGAGTAAAAGAAATGCCCCATACCCAGTGTGTGGAGGGAAAATATAGAAATAGTGTGTTTACCTTTGCTCCTGTCACAGCAGCCCATGGAGTGTGTGTATGTGATGGAGTTGGCAGAACTGGGCATGCTAGATGTGACTGTCTATCCACTATGTCCGCTCTCACTCTGTGTCCCAGCCTCCTTTCTCTTCATTTTGCTCAACCCTGATGAATTTAGAAATGAAGCTGTGTTAAAACGATAATTTCAATATAAGGAGTCAGTCTGACTCGCTCTTGCTGAGGGCTGACTTCACTGAGATCCCGGCATACCTGTGATTTTCTGTGCTTACTTTGCACCTGGCAGAACCTGGCTGTTCATTTTCTATAGACCTCAGTGCACTGAAAGATCATTTGATTTGGTTCCTGTTGATCCATATTGAACTTTACCCTACCACTGCAGAGACTAACAGCCAGGGCCTGATACACTGTATTCAGAAGACTGGCTGACAAAAATGTTTACATATGTTGTCTATTTTTTAATAAACCTTTTATAGCTTGTCTGTTTGCTTCATGACTTTGATCTACTCCTAAGTGGCTGCAGTGGTTTGCTTTGTATTCCGTGAAGAAAACATGAAGGAGATGAGCGCTTACTGTGTAAATGTGGAGACTTGAGTTCCACACCCAGCACCCTTGCAAAATAGCAAGTCAGGAGGTGTGCACATGTGGTCCCACTAGGAGGTGGAGAGAGGCCAATTCCGGAGGCTAGCTGGCCAGCTAGCCTAGCAAGTTCCAGGCCAATGAGAGTCCCTGTGTCATAAAGGGGGGGTCTCCTGAGGATTAACACTCAAGGTTCACCTCTGGTTTACACACACACACACACACACACACACACACACACACACACACCTGATACACACACTCTCAAATTTAAAAAGTAACAGCTACACATGGGGTGCCCCCTCATGCATGGCCATTTTGATTCTAATACTGCATAGCCAACAACTTGAACTTGTAATCACTCTTGGCTGGTTAGTATTTTTGTTAACATGACACAAACTGGAGTCATCTGGGAGGAGGAACCTCAGTTCAGAGGAAGGAGACGAGGCCTCCATCGTATTTGCTGTAGACAAGCTGTGGGGCATTTTCTTCATTAACAATTGATGTTGGAGGACCCAGCCCACTGTGGTCAGGTCGTCCTGGGTGTTATAAGAGAGCAGGCTGAGCAAGCCCCAGAGACCCAATAGGCATCACTCCTCTCTGGCCTCAGCTTCAGTTCCTGCCTCCAGGTTCCTGCTTGAGTCCCTGCCTCGACTCCCCTCTGTGACAGACTGTGACTGGGATATGATTCAAACAAACCCTTCCCTCTCCTGAGTTGCTTTTGGTCATGGTGTTTTATCACAGTAACACAGTAACTAATCCACTTCTGAGCGGGACACACTCACTTTTATTTTCACCCACTCCCAAATTGCTTAGATAAAACGCCAGTTTTAGACCCTTCCCTAAAGCCCTCCACCCATCTTCTCAGTTAAAGACCACCTGGAGTGAGAGCCTCATAGAGGCATCATTGCTCCAGAACTACCTCTAGGGTCAGTGAGTGGACACTTTCCACCTTACTGATAAAGAAGCCAGCCCAGCCTGAGGGAGAGCAGGTAATTGTGGCACTTCAATCCAGCTGTATTCTCAACCTACAGCAGGTACTTCCAAACCACAGGGGAGGGGTAGCCTTCTGATTATTAGTTGGTTTTCAGTAAATGTTACTGTTAATAAGCTCATTGAAGGACAGATCAAAGAAAGCCTCTGAATGCCGCCCTGAGAACCTGGCAGTGGGTTTGGCTTTAATTTGGAGTATGCATTTTTAGAGAGGATCGTGCATAGAGAGGAGGCCAATAGGATAGATATCTAAATTGAGACATTTCTAGGAAGTTGGCTTATGATATAGCTGAGGCTGCCAAGTCTGAGTTCTGCAGGGCAGGCTGCAGACCCAGGGAAGAATAGAGGTTACAGCTCATGTTGGAAGACCATTTGAGGTCCAAGGTCAAGGCAGGGGTAGTTTACATCATTAGAGGCTTCTCTTATTGGCTTGCAGATAGTTCTCTTCCCTTTACCCCTGTGTGTGTGTGTGTGTGTGTGTGTGTGTGTAGGTTCACATGCACATGGACACATATGTGGAGGCCAGAGCTCAATGTTAACTCTTTCTAGTCTCTCTCTACTTTCTGTTTTTCTTTTTTTTTTTTTTTTTTTTTTTTTGGTTTGGTTGTTTTTTGTTGTTATTTATTTATTTATTTATTTTTGAGCCAGAGTCTCTATCACTGAACCTGGGACTCTCTGATTCAGCTAACTTGGCTGGCCAGCAAGCCCCAGAGATCCTCTCTCTCTACTTCTCCAGCACTGACCAGGCAAGCACTGCTGTGCCCATCTTTTTGTGATGTGGGGTCTGAGGATTGAACTGAGGCCCCTGTGCCTACAGAGCAAACACTTGTTGACTGAGCCGTCTCCCTAGATGTGTTTTCTTCATTCTGTGTCCTAACATGATTGTTTTTCTGTGTTGTCTAATCACATCTTACAAAAACTCCACTAAAACTGAGTTAGACCCACCTCAGAGGTCTCCATTTGCCTCTGTGAACACACACATCCAGCAGTGGACACTTGCTGAGGTGCTGGGGGCTAAGCTCAGCACATGAGTGAGGCCACAACCCAGCCCATGTCAGTGTCCTGATGGCAACATGCGAGGAAAGCTGAGACAATGTCACCAGTTCTTACAGCAAGGAGAGGGAATGGGACAGGATGGGAACGGATCCCTGCAGGTGGTTCAAGGGGAAGGATGGCCCTGGCTGCCTGGGCCACACTTTGCCACCCTTCCTCAATACAACTATCATAGAGACAATTAATGGAAAGCAGGGAAGGGGACTTAGTCACTGCGGCCAC